CCCCCCCCCCCCCCCCACCCCCAGTTGCAATGGTCTAGAAACGCCACTGGCTCCAGGTGCTCAGGAGGCCATTAATCTGCAGAGCTTCCCTGATCTTTCAATAGGAACAGATTTATCTTTGATCCTCGCAAGGTTTCTGCTCCAGATAAACCAAACTGTAGGAATTAATATCTCCCTGGAAATTAAATGAGACTGATTGCGGAGGAGATGCTTGATTCAGATTTGCCATTTTAGAATGAGCCTCATGAAAAGCGTGTATTTTTGGTGACAGCCTTGCTTGACGTTCGACTCCTTGTGGTTGTTAACAGGCATCCTGACAGTAGCTCACAGTAAGATCATGTCACAGATTTTCTACATTTTCAGGAATGGCGTCACCTTCAGATCAATTTTTTGTTCCCATCTTGATTTGTCAGTGGTGTTGACACAACTGTGGGAGATTATCGGTGGAATCAACGACCGCAAAACGGGGTGAGTGTGACCGTGTATGTCACTGGTGACAGGGGGGGAATTGGGGGGCGGAGATCAGCATGTAGCTGCAGAGGTTTGTGGAACATTCACTTCATTTCAATTTATTTTTATATAGCGCCTTTCGAAACAGTCGCCTCAAGGTGCTTTACATGGGTGTGTTGTCATACATTGCAACATGATTAAGACAGTATAAAGAGAAACAGGGAAAAGGGAAGACAAAGAAAATTAAAAAAGAAAGCCTGATGACAAGGGAGGAGAGGAAACAAAAACTCCCAAGTAGGAAGAAAAAAACCCGCTGGGGGGGGTCCAAGATCAACTGGTTGCCCAGCCCACCCCCACAGCATGTTAGCATTATTGAAAAGGAAAGTGTGTGCTTGCTTGCTAAAAGCCAGGTGTGAGCTGTGATTGAGGTCAAAGCCAAAGTCCATCAGTCAGTCTGTTCTCCATGCTGGCCTGTGCAGGGTGGCAGATTGAAGGCTGCACCCACCATGTAACAGTTCGTAAGTCACATCCACATCAAAGAGGTGCTCATTTGTGCATGAAATGAGGGCGAGTCCAGAACAGACAAGTCTCGTGGAGATCAAAGGGGCACCAAGGCAACATCTGCACCATTTTCAATGCCTGCTGGAGCCACACAAAGCTGCCCATGTTTCTGGCACTTTCTGGAAGAAAAACATGTTTTAAGGCCCATGGAGAGTCCCTGCTTTGCCGCACAGACTGCCCCCCTCCCCCAACAGGGTCATCTTGGAGCAACACAGCGAATGTCACTGAGGTTGAATGTTTGTAGAAGCAGTCTGCATGCCTAGGTGCTTGATTTTATACACCTGTGGCTATGGAAGTGATTGGAACACCTGAATTTAATGATTTGGAGGGGTGTCCCTATACTTTTAGCAATATAGTGTATTTTAATCATGAAAAACTATAGATTTATGCAAACTGTGTACATTGGTATCTTTGGAGCAGTGGATCCAGGGCAATCACGACAGTGCACTTGTTAGAAGGCTGTGATTGTCATCCTACCAGAATCCACTGGAATAGATTCTGTCCATGTAGATTTACACGGCTTGGATGGGAGGGGATGATAAGCGCTGGCAAAGAGCACGACATAAGCACGCGATTCGGGACGGAAATTAATTGCAGCCAGGTGTGACCACATCCAGCTCGGCCCTGCAGGAGCGGGTCACTGTGGCTTCTTGGGGAGGAGCGAGGTTATCGTTCATCATTCAGGGAATCTTGGAGATCCAAGATTTTGATGTTTACTGGGCGAGCGTTTTTGTGCCGGTGAATACTACGTGTGCAAATAAATCCATGATTTCACCTTCACTTTTCCAGGGATCATTGTGCTGGGAAATCTGCAAGCTTCTGAAGCCGTGGTGACCGGGCCAGGGTGTGGTGACCCCGGGAGAGCCGCCCACACAGCTCATGCAGACACGCCATCAGCACTTTGGCTCGTATTTCACTCCTATTCAGTTCTCTAGTACAACTACTCCTTTTACAAGTCAAGAACATCTTACTGTTCCAGGCACACTTACAGTGGTTTGGCGCCATCGTGTGGCCATAATCACAATTGTTTTCATAAGACAAGTCTTTAAACACCAGTATATGGGAACAGATTATGCTGCCCAGTCTGACCAATCAGAAGAGATTTCATGTTGAAGACATGGAACTCAGGGAATACCTGTTGAGTGTAGGGACATCCATCAACTGTAAAATACCTTTTAATAATAAAACAAAGTAAGACTTTTCTCACTTCCACTTTAATTACATCAACTTTTACAAAAATAAGTGCACCCTACGGTCAATTCCGCCACCTCTCATATCCAGAAGTCGGTACTTGGGGTACAGTACATGGGACATCCAAGTGCCAAGATGTGTGGGACTGGTGGAGTGCTCTGCGGTGACTGGGAGAGCTGGGCCCTCGGCGGCTCCGCATGCCAGGCTCACAGGTCCTCCCGCTCCTCTGGAAGCTTCGACTTTCGAGGAGGTTCAGTGGTTTCAGAAGAGTCAGAGGGTCCAGAATCGGACTCATCCTGGCTCTCCTCTGCTGGGGCAAAAAAAAAAACAAAAAAAAAAACGACCCAACAAATGATGTCATTGTAAATAGACACACATGGTTCGCCGATTTATGGCGTCACGTGGCACTGTCACGCACCCAAGGCCGCCGCCTCCACGCACACGCCACCCTGGTCCTGGAAGCCGCTGGCACAGATGCACCTGAAACTGCCCGTCATGTTGACACACTCGCGATGCTCCCCAGGACATGCCGGCTCCGCCAACTCGCACTCGTTCATATCTGACCGGGGAACAGAATCGGGCCGCTAGCACTACAATAACCAGCAGTTACTTTTCAATTAACACCTGAGTGTAGGCCACTCACCTGCACATACTCCCTCTTCGTCCCTGTACCCATCTGCGCAGGCCAGGCAGTGATCAGGTCCCGCCCCTCTGCAGCCCAAGCACGGCTTGTCACAGGCTAGATTCATATTAAAATAACCAATAATGAAAGTAAAAAAGATTGGCTCCTGAGAGTTTCACTTAGACAAAATGCTCTGAGGGCAGAAGGGAAAATTATTATATAGTTATTTTTTTGAACCAATCAGATTGTAGAGGAGGTGGGTCCAAGACACCTGATTGGCTGTTCCTACCTCCTCTAGCTGTTTCTGAACATTTTTGTCTAAGTATATGTAAACTATATTAGAAAATTTACTCTGAATGATATGGACTGCAGAACAGACATTTGGTTAAACAACCGAAACATGGCTACTTTATATATCTAAATGAGGCAGTAGTCATACTGTGCTTTTATACCCGAGATTTTAACCTTTATTACTTGAGAAAGGTTAAGTCACTAGCAAGGTACCTGCTAGCCTGATAACCAGAAGCCTGGTCCAGGAAAAGCACGATAAGACTCTTGATGGAGTAATCATACCTTTACAGGAATATGAGCCCTCTGTGTTCAGGCAGTACTGGTCCTCTTTGCAAGGTGGGGATTCCCCTGAACACTCGTCCACATCTGTACCAAAGCAAAGAGCCCAAGGTCATCAGCTGAAAATATTTGGCTCTCCATGATGATGGAACCTCGAAGAAACTTCTAATTACGTTCCATGGCCTTCTCACCATTACAGGCGCCCTCCTGGTCCTTCTCCCAGCCAGGCTTACAGTCGCTGCACTCCCGATTGGTCGAGCCAGTGCACGTCTTACAGGAATCGTGACACTCTTCGGGACAGGAAAAGGCCCCGTTAACCAAGCCAGTGCTGGTTCACAGCCTTTCGTGGCCTGTCAGAAGGTGTTTACCTGTGCAGACGGAATGAGTGTCGTTGCGTTCCTCATTATAGAACCCAGCAATACAGTCCAGGCAAAACTCTCCCTCGTATCCGTGGTTACAGCTGCACTGTCCGTGACCATCCCTGGTTCCGTCTCCGTCGCAGGCCCCGTTGCCATGGCATGGTCTCTCAGAACCTCCCAAACAGGCTGTCGGAGAAACGGGTGGGTGCCCACAGGTGAAACGGTAACTGCACATGTGGCTGCCATCGACCGCAGCGACAGCGGAGATCCTGGACAGGCCTTACCATTGCAGTCTGGACCAAAGGTTCCTTTTGGACAGCAAACTTTGATGGAATCGACGCAGAACCATTTAAAAAGATCCGGGTGCTTTGTTTTTCTGGAATCCCAAGATGAAGAAGTTAAGCAGGTACCACATTTTACCAGCCATAAAAATATCCTTTATACCTTAAAATCAAAAAGGAAGTCATGAGGAGATCAAGTCAAAAGGGAAAAAGGAGCTTCAGAGGCACTTCACATGACAGGGTGAAGCACTACTGCGTACAGTATGAGATGGGCTCTCCTCTCCTCACCTCTTGAACCACCAGGTCTCAAATTGCTCCTCGTGCTCCTCCACCATCTGGTTGCACTCGAAGCTGCTGCTGTCGCAGACATTCTCCAGGATTTCCACAAGGCGGATCTCGCTGCGGAGAGACACCGGCCAGGTACCAATAACACGACGCACACAAAATGGATGAGCTGCAGATGTGGGCAGCATGTGGGTCAGGAATCTGTAACCCTGATCAGATGGTCACCAGGTTAAATCCCAGAGTTGGCAGAATGATTTCACAGATGGGCCCCTGAACAAGGCCCTTAAGCCCCAAATGCTCCAGAGATTGTCTTACCCTGCTTTCTCAAATATATAAATCACTTTAGATCAAAGTACCTGCTAAATGAATGTATATACGTGATGTATATGAAAAAACAAGGTCGACAATCCTTTAGGGTTAGTCTGAAGCCAGCTGACAGAACAAGAGAGAGTTTCTTGAGTACGGTTCCCCAGTTCTGGTCCAGTCTGCAGCACAGTATGCAGATTTTCCTGCTCAAAACACCTTAATCAGCTAATTGCCAGGTTTAGAAAGTGTGTTTGAATTCTGTGAATTGTGTGGCAAACTGGCCCACCAGAGCCATAACTGGGGAACCCTGCTCTAGAAAAGTGGTGGGGAGGTTGGAATAAGTCCTACTACTCACACCCGAAATCACTCAACAAAAATAGAAACATCTAGAAACACGTCACCTTCCTCAGTTGTGTAATATTTCTTCTGCACTAAGCACCCTGGTTGGATAGTAGAAATTACTGATCCAGAACTGATTTATCTTTATGGCACATTTGTTCCTGCTTAAATCTCAGCATCTGAATAGATACAGAAATGTCTGAGGGTCATAAGGTGTAGTTCTACATTTTAGGTTGAAAGTTTCATTTGTTCACGGTCACCAAATCACAAATGACTCATGTACAAACTTGTAATAATTCTCTGCCTCACCTTGTCTCATATTTTGACAGTTTTCTCTCTTCCCAGGCTGTGTTCCCTCCACCAAAGTTCTTCTTCGCTGTCCTGTCAAACTCCTGACAATGAGACACACACCACACACACACACACACACACACACACACACACACACACACACACACACACACACACACACACACAATAAGATGTGTTAGTAGGGGATGTTGTGTGTGGCTCTGCCGGTTAGGATGCTGTTCCTATCACAGACGAGCAAGATGAAACAGGAGAAAAGAATTTCCTCACGGCCAAAAAAAACGAATTCTGAACCATGTACATGGAGGGAAACTGAATTTATCAGACAAACGCATAAGAACGGGCACCGCAGTGCAACCTTACCTTACTGAAGTTGTCAGTGATCTGTCTGCAAGTTGAGCATGAGTCTTTCAGTTTGGCTGCCTCAGTGCATCCAATGTGCAGAGCAAACATGACCGCAGTGAGCAGAGCCACAGCTGATGGTAAGGATTGCATCTTCCCTTAAAAATGCACAACGCAACCCAGTTAATGATGAGTTAATAATCATATCAAACGGTCGGCCCGTGCCCCTAAACCTTGGTCAGCACATCACAGCTGTCAGCAGATGTGGAGTCTTAACGAACAGCACACTACTTTTCAAATTCATATTTACACCCGGCTTCACAGGGGGAAAAAAACTCATTCAGAGATTCCGGTTACACTTGTGGCTTTAACTGATTGGCTATCGACGCCCGTCCCTCAAGACAGCAGCCAATGAGATGGCGACACGCGCGAGCCAAATGACCACGGCCAGGCGTGACGGTGCCGAGACGCGCCGCGGTCCGTTTTGTGTCTAAAGTTCATTTCAACTCACGAGTCCGCGAAAGAAACCAGAGAGAGAGCGCAGCAGTGCGCGGTTTTATTGAAACGACGCTATGTAATGAGCATATGCTTCCTGTAGATTTGTAAAGAAAGTAAAGAAATAATTTGGAATAGTAGAAACACACAGGCAGTGTAACAGGCAGCCTTGCTGCTCATGCGACCAGCTCCTTCAAACAGAATTATAATCACAAGAGCTGGTGGATGTTTTTTTTGGTTGTAGCTCGGTACTGTTGGAAAGAAACAAGTGCAATGTATGTGATATATACAACAAACTAGATACTGCACGCATTTTAGTACACAACAAACACGTAGTACATTATCATGGGTCTATGCTAGTGTAAATCCTGCCCCCTCAATATGATTTTTATAGAATCACTAATTTGTGCATGTGTTCAAAGTTAATTGATCCCCGTCTCTGTTATTGCTGCAGGTAGTAGCCTGTGAGCTAGGAGTGTCGCGGCTTAGTGACGTTGTTATCCCCAACATGGCAGAGAGGGCTCGAGAAGGCGCAGGGCGCTATGGCGCTCTGTTGCTGCTGATTTTCGTGGGGTCTGTTCATTTGTGCGTATGCCCGTTCACGAAGGTGGAGGAGAGCTTTAATCTGCAGGCAATGCACGACCTTCTGTACCACAGACTCGACTTGGACAAGGTGATGCCGGCCGTCGCCCCCCCCCCTTAACTTAAATTCATGTCAGTTCATACCGAAGTAATCTGTGGACAGGGTAGTTCCTAGCTACATTAAAGTTCTCTGAACGTGGTTTTCTCTGTTCGGTTAATAATATTACATGTGACAAGGTGCTTATTTGAAGGAGACATTTTTTTTGCAGTATGACCACCTAGAATTCCCCGGCGTGGTCCCGCGGACGTTTCTTGGACCTCTGTTTGTATCTGCGCTTTGTTCTCCTCTGGTTTACGTGCTGTCGCTCCTGGACGCCCCCAAATTCTACACCCAGATATTAGGTAAAGTGGGAGGTTCCGGCTGGGATCAGATCTGGGAATGGCGCTGAGATGAGTAATGCACCTAAGTGAAATCTTGTGCATTTTACAGTGCGTGCCTGCCTGGGGATATGTGTGATCCGTGCACTTTGGAGCCTGCGGTGTGAAGTTCTGACCCGGTTCGGATCTAGGGTGGCATCACTCTTCTGCATCATTAGCGCTTCACAGTTCCACCTCATGTTTTACAGCACTAGGCCCCTGCCCAATGTGTTTGCCCTGCCCATAGGTATCTGAGACATAGTGTGTCATGATTTGAGTATGGTTTATATATGTATGTATTAATGCATCACATCCTTATGCTCTGATTCCTGTCTGATTCCTGCCAGTCCTACAGGCCTTCACATCCTGGATGCAGGAGAAATATGGCACCTTCGTCTGCCTGTCTGCCATAGCCATCATCATTTTCCGCTCAGAGCTCTGCCTCTTCCTGGGTCTCATGCTGCTAATGACACTGATGAGCAGGAGATTCACTGTCCTTCAACTCTTTAGCTACGCCATTCCGGCTGGCATAGTATCTTTAGGTAAGAGCCGCCGTCCCGCGCCCCTTGGATGATGTGTGAAAGCATCCTCCTTGGAAAGGTCAGGGTCGGGTCTGATTTTGCGAAGTTCACGTGACTGTCCTTCAGGTCTCACCGTCTCTGCCGACTCCATGTTCTGGAGGCAGCTGATGTGGCCTGAAGGCCAGGTGCTATGGTACAACACCATCCTCAACAAGAGCTCCAGCTGGGGAATATCCTTCATATCAGTCTTTTGGATGACGGAATGTGTCACGTCGATGTTTCCTGTCATCTTCCCCAACTTGGCGCTCCATCCTTGACTGTTTCTTCTCAGTAGACTGCCCCCTTCCTCTGGTACTTCTACTCCGCCTTGCCGCGTGCCCTGGGCAGCACCATCCTGCTCCTGCCATTTGGCCTGCTGGACAGACGGATGCGAGTCCTGCTGCTCCCGACACTGGGCTTCATCCTTCTCTACTCCTTCCTGCCACACAAGGAGCTGCGCTTCATTCTGTACACCTTCCCCGTCTTCAACATCGTGGCGGCCTGTGGCTGCTCTCGCGTGTAAGCACCCTCCACCGCACTGACCCTCAATGTTACAATGCTGTTTAAGGACTCCATTATCTGCATCTAATATCGAAGTCTACTAGTCTTACATGTTTGGAAAGGGTTCTATCCTATGCTTTGTAGGCTGAACAACTTCCATAAGTCCTGGATGTATAAGATTGGCTCTTTGATGGTGTTCGGCCATCTCTTCTTCAACGCCATGTACATGGGGTTGTCTCTGTACGCCTCCCATCACAACTACCCAGGAGGAAGGGCAATGCTAGACCTGCACCGCATGGTTCCGGCATCTTCAGGTTGGTCACACTCATTCTGAGTCGCATTTACTGGGCTGTTGTTTATACCAGGTAAATATCTTCTCACTTTGTCTTCTTTTTCCTTCTCAGATGTGTCCGTTCATATTGACGTATTTGCTGCTCAGACTGGAGTATCTCGATTCTTAGAACTAAATGGTGATTGGAGGTGAGTTCCATCCCGTTACAGTGTGGCATAGATCTGTGGGAGCCCTGTTAAGATCCAAACCTCTCTGCCTATCTGTCAGGTATGACAAAAGGGAGGACCTGGAGCCTGGAGACCTCAGAATGAGGAACTACTCTCATGTTCTCATGGAGGCGGACCAGACACGTGTAGCGACGCTAAGGGACTCTCACCGTCCCCTTGCCTTTGTCCAAGGCTTCAGTAAACTGGTCTTCCATGTGTTCCAGTTTCCCCCATTCAGTGTTAATCTGGAGGACAAAGTGGTTCTTTTGGAAAGAATTCCTCAATACAATTAACTAGAACTATGGACTATTTAATATGATGAGTGAAGAATTCATGCTGAAGTTCATAATTGTTGGTTTCATACTGAGATGGTTTTGTAAATGACATTGACAAAACTCTTACTATGTTAGAAGCTGGTTCCTTGCTTTGCGATAAAATCCTTTAAGTTTGACCATTGGCATATACTGATTTATATTTGTTATACTCCCCACAAATTATTGTATTTGTTTGTAGCTGAAACGGTTTTGAGGTTTCTTTAGTTTTAAAAACTGGTTATACTTCAGTGCTAGTTTGCACCATATGGGAAATTGTTAGGGATTATCAGGACACAACAGTCATTGCTTGTTGAAATGAATGTAACAGGAGGTTAATTCCAGGGTTTATGCTGGAAAATTCATTCACTGCCGTGTCTGACCTGGATGAGACTAGGAACTATAACACAAATGTAAACGCCTGTAGTCACTGAATTACTGTTGAGCAGAATTTGAAAAGAGCCATTAAATGCATTGTCACTATCACAGTTGTCTCCTGCTTCCCGCGCAAGAGGAATGTGGGCGAGCTGCTCTTGGCTGGTAGGTCAAGACACACAGAGGTTGTGAAACTGGAGGTCTAAGCTCTTCCTGTCTGAACATGGCAGAAAGATCTGCTCTTGCCCTCAGATGACCCCATTGATTTTGTTTTATTTACTAAGAGTGGCAGACTGCTCTAATAGTCTGTACCTGACTGGTGAATGACATAGTTTGGGAGGATGCATCTAAGGTAGTCTGGATGGTTTACTTAAGTGTGGTGCTGAGTGTGAACACCACTGAGAAACATGGGTCTCCTGTAGTGTGGTGTGACAGACCTGGCGCCAAGACGCTACGCCAGGCTGCCGTTTTATCTACCACACTCAGAGGAAACAAGGGCCTGCTAACCTCATGTGTCACTTCCTTGACAACAGGAAGAATGTCTATTTATACCCCTTCAACATGCAAAATGGGCTTTGAATCACAAACGACAGAGAATCCTTCTGTCCCTGGGCAAGGTTTTATTTAAAAAATTACCACAAAACGTGTTTAAATCCAGTCTAAATGCTTATACAATTATCAAAATCCTTATGGAAATTAATATTTAAAGATGTACAGTAATTTATTCAACAGTGAACCCATAATTCCCTCAACTAATTGTGCTTAAAGTATTTGAAACAGATTGCTTATTGTGAATACAGAACTATTTTATAATGTTCATGTAGAAAAAGTGAGTTTAAAAAAGCTAATTCTAATAGACTGTACCATCAGCCACAATTTCACAAAGAAAATTAAATATGAATATTTTTAAATATTCTCCATTCACAGTATTTTTGGGCCTGGTTTTTAGAGTAAAATGTCATTCAGCATCTATTCTATAATACATAATCACCTAAATTCAAAGACTACAAATTGGTATAACACCACTTAAATATTTACAGCATCTTTGACCTGAAGTAGTTTGCATAAGGCACAAGCAGAGAGAAGAAAAAAAGAACAAAGTTATACATAACAATATCACAACAAAATATTTAATCCTGCAACTGACAGTCAAAGCCTCTTGCTCTGCCAGTTTTCACTAGGCTACAGGCTTGCTTCAGTTGTCAAATGTTAACAGTAGTTTACACAAATCATTTTTTTCAATTAATAGCTGTGATTGGTCCAAATGCTCCATATACCATTTCTGAGCCAAAATGGAAAAGCATTCTTAGTAGTAAAAAATAAATAAGTAAAATAATGTATTGTCTATTTTCACAGATCCTGTGGCTAGTAGGAGTCTGTGATTTAGACCCACAAGGTTAAAACCTTATCAGTACTGAAAATATATTAAAGGGAGGTTGACCTTTAAAAAGACGAGGCCCTCGAGGTTTTCCAACAATGGTCTGGACTGGTTCATGGCATAGCTGGAACTTGCTGTGCTGAACAGTGTCTCTGCTGGGACAATGCTAGGAGGGCAACTAACATAACGAACAGCCACTTTGGCAAGGTCTGGCCACAGAAACTTTTTCAGATTCCAGTAGTCCAGGGGATCACAGCTTTGATCAAGTATCTCCTCTTCTAAATACTCCAGCACTGCTAGCTCTGAGGATTTAGGTCGCTCTTCCTGCTTGATCTTTTTCTTGATGTCATCCATTAGGGCCCAGAGGTTATCCTCATCAGACTGAGTACTATTGGATGAAACTGGGAAAACGCTGCATCCATTGGACGGTAAAAGCTTGGTATCAGTTGAGGTAGATAATGATGCCTCAAGTTCTCTGATGAGGTCTTGCTTGCACTGTTCAGCCTCTTCCTCTGTGAACAGAGAAGTCTTGTATCGAGGATCCAGCATCGTTGCCCAAATATACTTTGGGTCATGAAGTGTGGAGGACAATTGACTTACCATTGCCTCCTTCAGAGACTTCAGCATGTTATCGATGCCCATAGTCTCATCAAAGAGCATATCTATCTTTCGGTTGAGGATATGAATTAGCGGTATGACTTGGCCTAGTGTGGCAGTCCGGTCGCTCATTTCCCTGCATGCTACTTCAAAAGGTTTTAAAGCGTTACACACAGACTGCATTACCTCCCATTGGTCACAGCTTATCAGTTCCCTAAAATTGCACTCTATTGACATTTCATCAATTGCTTTCTTTTGCTCCACTAAACGTTCAAGCATGTAAAATGATGTTTTCCACTTGGAAGGAACATCTTGAACGAGCTGGTTTTCAGGCAAGTGGTAAGTCTTCTGAAGTTCAGCTAACTTCTCCTTTGCTTTAGCGGAACGGTGAACACGCTCGCAGATTTTCCTGCCTGTACTTAGCAGGTTTTGAACCATCCTTTGGCTCTTTATGGCTTCAGTAACAATGAGGTCAATTGTGTGTCTGAAACATTTTAAGGTAGCGTGATCATTACTGTCCAGTGTATTTACAATGCTCAGGTTATCAGTCACAGTAAACCCAATTTTCAGACCTGATGAATTAATCCAAGTATCCCAGAGATACTCCAGCTGCTTCTGGATACTGAGCATATTGTAATCACAGTCAATCTGAGTAACGCTGAGAAGGGCGGAGCAGTGAAAGTCCTGGCCCTGAGGTCTCACGCACGACTCGTAGGTTACCCAGTGGGCTGTCAGAGTCAAGTACTCTTTAGTTTGGCTGCTGATCCAAATGCTTGTTGTGAAATGAATAATTCCACTCTCAGCCTCTTTCAGGTGTGTAACAATGACTTCTTTCACCCTTTCGTACATCTCTGGAATGGCAGTGCTTGTGAAGTAAGAAGGCGAAGGTAATGAGTACTGTGGCTGCAGGTATTCCAGTAATCGGCCGAGACCGACGTTCTCTACAAGTGCTGAGGGTTGCAGATCCAGCGCAAGCATTTCAGCGACAAGCCTGGTGATCTTTTTGGATACAGGGTGATACTGGGCAATTTTTTTGCCATTTTCTTCATATAAGGAAGTGGCCATGGGTTCTTCTTTTACTTGAACGCCAGCAGAAGACACAATACCTGAGACACTGCTGTTATTTTCAAGAACATGTCCATGAAATCTCTGCATGTGTCTAAATAAGCAACTGGTGCCGAGGTTTGTCGTCTTTTTACCTCGGCTTATCGTGCGGTTACAGTGCAAACAAATAACCTTTGTGGGGTCAGTGGCACTAATAGAAAAGTGATTCCATAACTTAGAAGTCTTCTTGCTGAAAGTGCGCAATTTCTTTTCAGTGCCATCTGGATCTTCTGAGGATAAAGCTTGAGCAGCTGCTGAGGTGGTGTGGGCTGAACCAGACAAGGACACCTTATCACACGTGGTTTTCTGATCGTGAAGGACATCAGGGTGACGTCTCATGAGATGCCTCATTAGACAACTTGTCCCAAAGTCCCCACGTTTCCCTCGGCTGATGGCACAAGGACAGTATCTGCACAACGCCTTGAGCTGGTCACCTGGGGACACAAGGAAATGATGCCAGACCTCTGACTTCACTCTTTTCATGATTTTTTTGTTTTCTTGGAATATTGAAGTAAGATTTTGGTGTAGGTATAAGCCCTCAGACAGCTCCTCTATCAGGGGTGGATGTGGATCTTTGTCTCCTTTATGTTCTAATGAAATATCAGCTGAAGACTCTTGTCCTGAATTATACAACTCATCATTTGAGTCCTCTTTAACATCCATATTCTCACTAAAACTTTGCAGTGCTTCGTCAGACACCGTTTCAGGGGAGGATGGGACAAGAGAGGATTCTTTTTTGATCTCGCTTGTCTCTTGAGGCTGAAAACGTGACAAAAGGGTAGGTGGGCTTGTATAAGGCGGTGGAATGGTACAACCCTGTCCGCTTTCCTCTGCAACTATGTCTCTGTGGGCCCGCCACATGTGACGAATCAAGCAGCTTGTCCCCAAGTCTTTACCGTTCTTTCCTCGGCTGAACTCATTCATGCAGTGTATACACACTGCCTTGGAGTTGTCTACTGGGGACAGGTAAAAATGCTTCCACACTGCTGATCGTCTCCGAGAGTTTCCATTTTTATGAGTTGTTAGGATGGGTTCAGACGTGCTGTCTGTAGCTTCTTCGGTTTGGTGGTTGGTGGAATGTGGAGAGGAAGCCTTGCAGGTTTCCTTTTTGGCACTCTGCTCTGATTCTTGCGTAACAGGGAACGCTTCTTTGGGCAAAGCCTCACCCTCATCTGCCGACAGCCCCAACATCCAGCTGCTTTTTTGAGAAGCAGATGTGTTAGCTGCCAAGTCCCCATTATTCGGTGAATTTCTAGGATGTACTAAGGAAGACGAGACAGGGGTACTCGGGTGAAACTCACTTTCTTGCAGCAGCACAGTGGGATGAGCCCTTCTCACATGCCTCATCAGACAGCTGGTACTGAGGTCCTTCTCATTCTTTCCTCGACTGAATTCTTTCATACAGTACATACAGATTGCTTTGGTGCTATTACGGGGTGATATGAAGAAGTGGTTCCAAGCAGGTGATTTCTTTCGTGGGTTTACAGGGTTTCTTATTGATGACAGAAGACTTTGTGTTACAGCATCCATAGCCACATCATAAAGAGTACTATTATAATTAAGTAAGTCATCATCTCTGGTAACAAAAGGCTCTACCGAACTATCAAAGGTAAAATTCTGATCCTCCTGGTCATCCTTCTTCATAGCATTTGGTTCTTCCTGTTTGATATGTATGTTTGTTTCATCTTCTGACTGCTTGAGTGTCCTTTCATTTTTACATGAGGTTGCAGCATTTGGGCACTGATTAGAAATGGTTGCCTCTTCAAGAAAAGCCTTTTCATCTGATAACTGAGGTTCTGACAGTTGTGCACCAACCTGAGAAGACTGGTCCTCTGACGTCCTTTCAGAAGAGACTGAGAGGGCTTCTGTAGCCAGTGTCTCTGAGGACAAGGAAGAAGTTTCTCCATTCTTAGACTTATGAGCAATTCTGTATGACTTGAACACATAACCATCTTGACCCTCTATTTTAAGACAGGTCCCTTTTGCCTCTCTTTTTTTGTCACTGTGGATTAAATCAGCACGTGTCGAGCCTCCATCATCGCTACTATGAGAGAGGTCGTCCTCACTGTCCATGTTGGCAGATTAAAATTCTGCCTTGATTCCAACGTCGAGAGGGAAAAAATGGAGGGGAAAAAGTATGTCAAGTGGTGAGAGTCATAGGAGTGGGCTTTGATTTCTTCTTCTTATCCCCTGTATTCCAGTTACATGCAACTTCTGAATGAACTTGTTTCCATGTTACCGCCATTTAAATGCATGATTTAAGAATTAAGTCCATTTCTTTCCAGGGAATCCTGGAAAAATGGAGAGAGAAAGTAAACATGATTAGTAACTCACATAAGCAATATATTGGTTTCATAAGCCCTCAAACACCCCCAAACACATGGTCTGTTGCGATTGCTTGGGAACGTAATAAGCCATCTAAACCCCCAGACAGAATTTAGCCAGGATGTAAAATTGGTGAAACATGCTTTCTCAAACTTCCAACATAGAAAACTGTCAGTGTTCAGTTCCTGCAGTTCTGCTGCATGACAATGCATTTTACACATTTTCCATTAATGGAGCTCTGTCACATCATACTCGGGAAGAAAGTTTGAGTTTTTACCTGCAATATTTTTATTAATAAATATCTACATTCCATAACCACATACCCAGCAAGGGATATCTCACTCAGGATGATCTTCCATCACGGGGCACATAGTCACATTCTATAAGCAATTTAGATATGCCAATTCACCTACACATGTTTTTGAACCTTGGGAGGAAACCCAGGTAAACACAAGGAGAAACTCCAAATTCCCCACACAAAGTTGTGGGTGGGATTTGAACCCACATCTGAGGAGGTGTGATGCTGCAGGTCTACCTACTGAGCTGCTGTGGCACACTGATAATTAATAAATGATCCATATATTTCCACTCTGATGTTGGGGTATGGCCAACAGATTCACATCAAGGAATGGAACATTAAATCAGCGCCACCATACTGTATTTTTTACAGTAATAAGGAAGTTGAAATAGGGAGGATTATTTACATTTAAATTATTAAACTGTCACATGATCTGTTTATATATTTTTTTCTTGTAATACTAGTTGCCACACTAGTTTCAAATATGTTAAACCACATTACCTAAAACATGTATTAGGGTTTTAAAACTGAATTAGCACTCAATACTATAAAAACCAAATTCTTACTAATATTGTTATGATGGAGTTCTACATCGATGTTTCACTGGTGTTCATTATGAACATAGTTCAACAGAAGTTTAAAGGAAAACATTTACAGTAAGCTACACTGTAACTGAAATCAAGCATTACAATAATAGAGAGATGGGTATAACCCCCCACCCCCCACACACATATACATAATGACACTAATGACACACTGTGTAAGTGTATGGCGGCCAATCAGTGCAGCCTGCTGTGTGCCCGCATCACAAGCACGTGGAAGAGAAAGAAAATCGTATCTGTTCTGGACCAGAACAAGCACACCTCCCTCCAGAACCACCGTGCGAATAGGGATCTTAAAACCACTTCCCTTTAAAAGCGAATGCTCACTTCTCAGCACACTGCAACACCCAGAAGGGGACCTCCATTAACCTTACTTAACTAACCAGATGGGCAGCGTTTACGGCCTGCCACAACACCCCCCACCCCCCACCCCCCACCAGCTGCATCCGTAGACACAAACAGCAAATGTCTTAGACCTAAAAAAGTAATTTGACCATAGAGATCTTAGGCACGGCTTGCCCATTGGGGAACATGACAGTAAGAAAATGACAGAGAGAGACAGTGGACAGGCACAGCTCAAGGACCGTGTGACAGGGGATGGGGACAGCAGTGCCCAGTCACTTCAGAGCGGGCAGGGCCTCCGGATGTCACGCTGGTCTCTCTTACCCCTGCGACGCTTCAGTCCCCGAAGAAAAACGCGGACAAACCTCGTTTTCCAAGCCTTCATACAATGACAGCGGTTAGTGGCGCTGTGTTTTATGTCCGTGTGTGGAAACCCGGGGCGTCGGGTGGGCTGGTCTGGTCCGGGCCAGGCCGCCCCGGTAAGAGCGGCGATGAAGCAGTGTCGGATCCCAGCAGGGGACCGTGGGAGTCCCGGATCAGACCGACACCTGCCAGACTCACGTCGATGCGGAACTGCGCATTATAGGTACGTACCTGAAAACCCCGGGGAGTCCGCCTCAGTCGATTTTGGTACTTAAACGGTTAAATAAAAGCACACTGAGTTGATCCACCGGGGCATTATTCCGCCGCTTTGTCTTCTTGGTGGTTAACGTTCAGCGGGGGGGTTACGCACTGAGCGCGCGGCGTAGCCGCTCTGACGTCACCTGGATTTGGTGCCCCCAAGATGGCGGTCTGAAAACAAACCGCCGCCGGAAACCTGCCGCGCTCCTGGCTGCCATAGCAACGCGCCAGTCCTTTGACGGGCGTTTCGCCAAAGGCTATGGCTACAAGACACGAATTCGCGTGTCTCCCAAATGGTTTATTCATAATTGGATATGCCTGTTTCATCTTTGTAATGTGCACTCAAAGAAAATAGCCTATAATTGTAATAAACTGGTTGTAGATACACATTGTTTGGACTGAGCGCATGTGTCGTGTCCCCACTGTTGTAACTTAAAGATAGATTATTTATGCGTTCTTTTTTACTATAATTTGAAACATCAGAAAACAGCCTGAAGAAGAAGATAACATGTGTCGCAGATTTTGTAAACACAAAATCAACAAACAAAACCCACTGTGTAAGGATAGGCAAACCAAATGGGTCTCTTATAAGCAATATTAGTCAGGGGCGCAATTAAAATAACAATGGAGGTATACAAATAAATATGTGTAGACTAATGAAAGAAAACAAGAGTCCCCTTTGTCTTACGCACGTCCGCGTGACGTCGACAGGGTTAGGGGTCACCAAAATGGCCAGGGAAAGGGAAAACAAACACTTGTAGTTCCAGATAACTGTATTTCTTTTTCAGAAGGGGTTTACTGAGCGTTTTCATTGGACTTATATTAACAGCATACTGGATTCTTGGGACCACTAGGATCCATTACAATAGCCCACGGTGGTGCGTCCGTTTATTGCGGTAACACGTGGTTCCTCGGCGTTGGGGGAGGGGGTTCTCACAGGGGCGCCATTATAAGTGGAGCACAACAATGAATTCATACTGTTTAAATTCAAGGCTACATAAGGAGGGATACAATAAAGTGCAAGTCACTATTGTGTAAATTCGGATATTCGTCTCAAACGTGTAGTGGTTATTCATTTGATAGCTTCATCATTTTAAATTTAAGGGATTCCGTGTTCCGAAACACGGCATTTTCCCGAAATTGAATACACTGTCACGTCGTTTAAAATGTGTTTAGGTTTCTTAGAGTACATAAATGATTAGCCGATAATAATCCACGAGGACACTACACATTGCCCTTATTTGCCAGTGGACGATTTAATGAATGCTGGCTTTCTACCTTATTTTTGTTTTATTGAACAAGGATTAGAAAGTACAGAAAAATAAGGTTGAAACAGGCCCGCATTGCTATGCTGTAATAAAATAAGTAAATACAAAGGACAAAAATAAAGGTTTACGTAGTTTACAGTACCGACTAAAAGGTTTACGTAGTTTACAGTGGTAGAATATTGAACAGTCCCGAGTCGCCTGCTGCTACACTGTGCCTACACTTCAGCTACATCATTCCGTGTTAATACAACAAAAATAAAATGCAACATAAAGATTTAGGGGTCAAGCTACTAAAAACAAACCGTTTGTGTACTGGTAACATATAATGAGCAGGATGACAGGTTCACACAGCGAAGCGGTAAGGAAAGGGTCCCGGCCTCTCCCTCGGCTACGCAAAGGCGTTGCGCGTAGCGGGCGGGACCTGCGCGGCGGTCGCATTGTTGCTGCGTGACATAGGAGCGTGGAGCTGCCGTGGGTCTGTCGCCGGAGGTCGAGCGCGTCGCGAGGCCGATGCTTGGTTTCTGCGCGCGGTAGTAGGAGCAGAGGGTCACACCGGGCTCCGGAAGCCGCGCGCTCATCCTGGATACCGCCTCCTGAGCCTCGCGCGCCGCCGTCGGGTGAGAAGCGCGAGAGAAGCCGCCGCCAGTCAGTGGGCCTCACCGCTATCGGCTGGACCCTCTCTGTCAACACGGCCGCGGTTAGCGGCGTAGCAGTTCGGCGTCGTCAGGTAAGGCCTCCGTCTCCCCTTCCTCCGGTTTGCACGGACGCTTCCATTGCAGCAGAGGGCGCGCAGGCTCTGGGAAGCGGGGTGTGGGCGTCGGGACGAGGCCCAGTCCGCCGCTGTTTCGGCCTCTTGTTGTGTCGGCGGCCATGTTTGCTAAACCTGGTTTTGTTGTAGCCAACTAGCCACCCGGTTGTCTCAGCGCTCTGGTTGGGCGCTGCACGTTCACCTCTCCCGTTTTTAAATAAGCCATGTCAAACCTAGAGCGGTTCTCTATAGTGACATGGTAACTAACGTTTTATATGCGGTTAGTTTCATTTTGAATCGGCCTTTGAATGTGTGCCTCGTACGGAACTGTCTTATGTCTCCATTGCTAATCGTGTTGCCTTTGTGGACCGGTAGGTGATCGGGAAAGCTAGTCCTGGGTTTTTCAATGTGTTATATATGAGGGCTGATTTACGCATTCGTGCTTAGTTGTGTAACTAGCGCATGCTAGCCTGAGTGCCTCTCGGGAAGGTTATTCCGGGCCTTAAATACCCAGGCCCCTGTGCCCTGCACCCCCCGCACTGTCCGTCCGTACGTTTGTGTCTGTGGCTGAATGGTAATATGTAGCTGAATGGTAGCAGGGCTGTATTAACCCATGCGCATTAATTAGAAAACACAGATTCCGCAGCTCTATGCAATACGGCTCATGTTTGTGCCTCGCTTTAGTCTGTCATTCTGACAGCTCTCCATGCCTGTTTAGTATTCTCTGTACATGAGAGTCCCGTCCTTCATTATGTGGTATTCAGTTATTTCATGTCCTGGGTCTCCTCGTTTCAGCCCACACAAGGCACATGTGGATGAGATTTGCACCATGACTGAAATTGATCTGAATTGATTGCGCTTTAAGGGACGGCAGATTGAAGAAATGTCTATGCTGCAGGAATGTTTCTGTCACTGAGGGAATCAGGGCACTTAAATAACCTGAATTCCTTGCCATTGAAGGGTTCCAGGTAGGGGGAGGTTTATGTGTCACACGAGTTCATCTGCATTTATTTCAGGGCTGTGTGCTTTTGGAGTAACCCGGATGTTTTGTTTATCTTTGTTTCTCATTGTTTGCAAGATTATTCCCTATTTTGTATCTGAAATTATGCGCATTCATTGAGAATTGTGGTATAAGAATGTATGTACATGGGGGGGGGGGGCTTCTGTAATATATTCTTTCGCTAATCTCAGTTTTACTGTGGGCCTCCAATTGCTTCACCTTTGGACGATCAGACGACATGTGCTTGCTTTTTCGCGCAGGTTTTACCACTGATCGCGATGAAGAGGAAAGGGCGGCAGCAGCGAGGGCCGACGCAGCCGCCGCGGCCCGCCTCGCCCATCCGGCCCTCGCCCAACCGCGAGACCCTGACGTATGCGCAGGCGCAGCGCATGGTGGAGCTGGAGATGGAGGGCCGCGTGCACCGCATCAGCATCTACGACAGGCTGGAGGTCATCTCGGAGGATGACCCCACAGCCCAGGAGATCATTGAGTGCAACAGTAATAAGGAGAACAGTGAGAAGCCGCTGCAGGCGGTGGTGCGCTCTGCACGTCTTAAGAGCAACCAGCAGAAGAGGAACACGGCCCTGGCCAGTGTGCCGGCTCCACAGGCCCCAGGGGGCACGTTGCCCGAGCCCAAGATCCGTACGGTGGAGTACAACCTGCCTGTAGTGCCTCGCCGACCAGCTGGCTACTACACCTATGTAGAGAAGACCCCGGAGGAGCTGGATGAGGAGGTAGAGTATGACATGGATGAGGAAGACTATGCCTGGCTGGATTTGATCAACGAGAAGAGACGCTGTGAGGGTTTCAGTCCAGTGTCGCACAACGTCTTTGAGTTCCTCATGGACCGCCTAGAGAAGGAGTCGTTCCTGGAGAACCAGGGCCATGGGGAACCACAGTCACTGATAGACGAGGATGCCGTGTGCTGTATCTGCATGGACGGCGAGTGCCAGAACAGCAACGTCATCCTCTTCTGTGACATGTGCAACATGGCCGTGCACCAGGAGTGCTACGGCGTGCCCTACGTACCCGAGGGCCAGTGGCTGTGTCGCCTCTGCCTGCAGTCGCCCTCGCAGCCCGTCGATTGCATCCTGTGCCCCAACAAGGGCGGCGCCCTCAAAAAGACTGAGGACGACCGCTGGGGTCATGTGGTCTGTGCCCTGTGGGTGCCCGAAGTGGGCTTCGCCAACACGGTCTTCATCGAACCCATCGACGGCGTGAAGAACATCCCTCCCGCCCGCTGGAAGCTCACCTGCTACCTCTGCAAGGAGAAGGGTGTGGGGGCCTGTATACAATGCCATCGGGCAAACTGCTACACCGCCTTCCATGTCAGCTGTGCGCAGAAGGCCGGCCTCTACATGAAGATGGAGCCCATCAAAGAGATGACTGATTCAGGCACGCCGACGTTCTCGGTGAAGAAGACAGCCTACTGTGGCTCCCATACGCCCCCCGGCTGTGTCCGGAGGCCCCTCACCATTTACGAAGATGCCAAAGACCGGAGCCAAAGAGGGGACCGGGCCAGTGGGAGGTCGCGGTCGAAAGGTAGCCACAAGAAGAAGAACAAGAAGGAGGAGTGTGAGCCGCTGGCAGCAGTACCAGCAATTTCTGTGCCTAGCATCCCCCCTCAGAGGTGCGTTTCCTCGCTTTTAGGGACAATGACATATCGTCACCTGTATGCAGAGGTGCCAGGGAAATAAGAAAATTCAGTAAATTTAATTTTTAGCTCTTTTTTTTTTATTATGGTAGAATACAGGTAATTAGAACCCAGTGGAATCACAAGCTTGCTATGGCATGCAGAAGATGTCCAGTCTGATGGTCTTTGTCTTTCCTCTATATCTCCAGGTTGAACACAATCCTTAATCAGGTCTCTGTCCAGAAGAAGAAGGTTGTCATGGAGCTGGTTCTGAACTACTGGGTGCTGAAGAGGCAGTCCAGGAATGGCCTGCCTCTGCTCAGGAGGCTCCAGTCCGGCATGCAGTCCCAGAGGACCGTGCAGCCGGTCAGTTTGAGCGGGTTCTGCTTCGGCAAATTTAATTGGTTTTATTTTGAATTATGTCATTTATGAAGCCTGCTTTTTGTGAATCAGTAATGGTTGGTCAGTTTTGGGCTCTGCAGGGATAAGCATCGGCTATATAATGGGCCAGTGTTTGAGAAGCTGATCTAGGAATATGCTCCCCTGCTTTGCATTGGACATTAAGTTCAGGTGGCTTCTCCTTCCAGAAGGAGAGCGAGGAGGAGAGCCGGGCGCTGAAGGAGCAGTTGAAGGAGTGGCACCGCCTGCGCCATGACCTGGAGCGGGCCCGGCTGCTGCTAGAACTGATCCGGAAGCGGGAGAAGCTCAAGCGAGAGGAGGCACGCCAGTCACACCGGTCACATGGCAGTCACATGCTCCTGCGCCGCATGGCGGTCGCCATGCAGTCCCCGAGAGAGCAGCACTTTTGATCGGCTCTTACTTCTTCTCCCCCTAGGTGAAGCTGCAGCAGTCCATTTTGGAGGTCCAGCTCACTCCATTCACCATTTTGCTACGTTCCATATTGGACCAACTTCAGCAGAAGGACCAAGCCAAGATCTTTGCCCATCCTGTTAACCTAAAAGAGGTGAGAGGTCAACCCTGAGTGTCTATCGCAAAGCATAGATTTAAACGAGTCCCCAAGCATGCGTGACTTTGTGCGTGACTCTGTGTGCACCAGTGAGGGTTTTTATCCTCTTTGTGTGCTGGCCCGTAAGGAGAATGTCATATATTTCTCATATCTGCATTTAGATTATTTCTGAACTGTAACATTAGGGGACGTTGATGCAACATGTCGATGACCTTAATGGGGAGAATGGCGAGTCCAAGTGACTCTCTGTTGGCTCGCTGTCAGGTACCGGACTATTTGGACCACATCAAGCACCCGATGGACTTTTCCACCATGAGGAAGAGGGTTGAGGCTCAGGGCTATAGGAATCTGGATGAGTTTGAGGACGACTTCAACCTCATTGTGTCCAACTGCATGAAATACAATTCCAAGGACACCTTCTTCTACCGGGCAGCGCTGCGTCTCCGGGACCAAGGCGGGGTCGTGCTTAGGAAGGCACTGCGGCACGCAGAAAGCATCGGGTTCGACTATGATAGCGGGATGCACCTTACAGAACCTCCCAAGCTGGAGCCGCCACTGCCTTTCTCCTGGGAAGATGGTTAGTGAGATGTTTGGCGCTTGTGCTTTGAGGTGTAACAGGGGGATGTGTGAGAGTAGATGTCTTATGTCGCTCTGATGATTATACTTCCTGATTTGGATGCCGCCTCTTGTTGGATACCAAGACTTCGGCGTTCCGTGTCGGTCTGTGAGCTCTTTGCCTGCTTCCTCCCGCCCCGCAGTTGACAGGCTGCTGAACCCGGCCAGTCGGCAGCACATGTCCCTGGAGCAGCAGCTGAAGGAGCTGCTGGAGAAGCTGGACCTTACATGTACCATGAAGTCGAGCCCCTCGCGCAGCAAGCGGCTGAAGCTACTGAAGAAGGTCATCGGCGACGTGCGGCACGAGATGAGCCTTCGTGCTGATGCCCTCCCGTGCATCGCAGAGCCGGCGTCCGGGGGCCAGGGAGTGGAGGAGGACGGTACGTGTCCCCTGTACCTGCACCTCAGGGCGTTCATACCTTAAAGGAAGTGCTCTTTCGGTCAGGCTCTTTTATTTTTAAATTTCCATTTATGTGGAATTCCTTTGTGTACAAAGTGACATAAGTGAGAGAAGCTTAGGTTCAGAGAACAGGGTCAACCAGCAGTTGGGATTAAGGTGATTAAGGGGTAGCGTTTGGCTCAGTGGGCTAAGTGTGTGTACATGTAATCAGAAGGTCACCGGTTCGAACCCAGCCTCAGCACGTCTGCAGGTCCTTGAGCAAGGCCCTTAACCCCCAGTTCCCTGGGCGCTCCAACAGGTGGCTGCCCTTCGCGGACAGCTTACTCTACATAGAGATCCCTATGGGATAAAAGTATCATTTATTATCAATTTTTATTATTTATTAGTCTGTTGCCCAGGGGATTTGAACCCATGACTTTCAGAAAATGAACACAGATCACCAAGTCATTTCTGTCATTTTCAGCTTTATATGAATTATAAATCTGCAGGTGTTTTTCTTTACCAGCAAGCAGGGCTTCTCCCGCAGAGCCTCATCGCTGGTGTTTCTGGTCCAACGTTTCTTTCCGTCATATACATACTTCTGGCTTCTCTTCTAGGGGACAAGTCTTTACCACCTAAGCTGGAGCCGTCCGACCTGCTGCCACCCCAGAACTTGGATGGGGACTCAGAGCCGCCCACCCTTAAGCCCGTTCACCCCAACCCCGAGGGCCGGTGCAGTCGCCGCGTGAAGTTCGACAGCCAACAGGACTGCGTGCCTGGGGGCAGGGAGGTGTCCAACGGGCCGACCCTAGACCCTCCGGCGCTCTCTCCTGACGGCGACGTGTCCGCTGCGTCCATGCCGGCCGAGCCCTCTGGCAACGTCAACCGCCGCACCTCGGTGCTCTTCCGGAAGTCGAAGAGCATGAGCCCCCAGAAGCTGGTGAAAGCGGGTGAGAGCCCCACCAGCGGCCCCCAGTTGGGCACCAAAACCTTCCTCTCTGTGGTCCTTCCCCGGCTGGAGACACTGCTGCACCCCAGGAAGAGGTCACGCAGCGCCAGTGGGGAGAGCGAGCCCGAGGAGGAGTCCCCGGTCAAGCGCCTGGACACTGGTACGCCAGGGGGTCAGCAGGAGGTCGTGGGACATGGTCTTTTAAACCTAACCCTGACCAACCCAATTTGAGATGTGATTGATGGCAGTAACGAATCTGACCAGGATATTGTGAAGTTTACTTTGCTGCCACCTTAAGGACGCTCAGTCTGATTGCACCTCCCCATTTTCAGGACTGTCCAATGGCTTTGTCGTGGGGCAAGACGAGGAGTCCAGTCCCAGCGGGCAGGCAGAGCCGCGACGGAGGTGTGCCTCCGAGTCCAGCATCTCTTCCAGCGGCAGCCTCCTGTGCAACACCAGGTACCCCACCCTCCCGAGTCCTCCGAGGTCACCCCGGTCACGTGACGTGGGATCTGTCCTGTCAGTGGCTGCACGGCTGAAGGCCTGGTCTCCATGCTGGTTTCTTTGCCTCAGTTTCAGTCTCCCGAAGTGTGGCAAAGGGAAGCCCGCACTCGTGCGGAGGAACCCCATCGACGACAAGAGCGAGCTCATCGCCTGCATCGAGACGGGCAACTTCGCCAAGGCCGCCCGGCTCGCTGCTGGTGGGTGGCCCGTTCTCTTGCCTCCCCCTCTTCCTCCCCCGGGGGTTAGGCTTAGCAGCAGCCTAGGCTGCAGGGTGCGTGGCCCTTCACCACGGACGCAGTCAGTAATATGCTGTGATTTTAGATGCGTGTGCCCCCTTGGCGGAAGCTGCCTTGTGATCTCCCCCCTTAACCTGACCTGGTCCTCACCCCTGCTTTTGTAGAAGTGGGTAACAGCAGCATCTGGATGCCGGCTAACGCCTCCACCGTCATGCTCGAGCCGCTAAAGCTCGTCTGGGCGAAGTGCAGTGGCTATCCCTCCTACCCAGCCCTGGTGAGTGTGCGTGTTCGCATGTGCGTATGCGTTTGGCCAGACCGCCTGGCTGCCTTTGCGCTGTAAAGGTTGTGTATTTTGACTGAAGAGGGACACGCAGTCTGGACACATGCCTGTGCGTGCGGGCGTGTCAGCGCCATGTGATCCTCCTCGCCGACCCCTGGCATCATCTCTCCCAACTACAGATAATAGACCCTAAGATGCCACGGGTGGGCTGTCACCACAATGGCGTCTCCATCCCCATGCCCCCCATGGATGTACTCAGGATCGGCGAGCAGATGCAGTACAAATCGGGCGAGAAGCTCTTCCTAGTGCTCTTCTTCGACAACAAGCGCAGCTGGTGAGTCGTCCTGTGTGACGCGCTTCCGGTGTGTCTTTACTCGGCGTGTACATGCGGCTTAGGGGTCGGGTCTCTCCCTTTTGGTTGTGTCGGTTACCAGTCAGGAGGCCCTGCTTTTGTTACTTGGTCACTCGCGGCCCGTGTGAATGATGAGCGAAGGCTGTCTCACCCGAGCCGGGGAGAGCGAGTCGGACTCATGCTTATTCCCGTAATGTTCCCATAAAACCCCCAGTCTCCCGGATAACGGGTCGATCGGCGTCGGGACCTGAGCCACCCGTTTGTTAACTTGAGGTTTTCATTTCGCCAGGCAATGGCTTCCTAAATCAAAGATGGTTCCCCTGGGAATCGACAAAACCATCGACAAGATAAAGATGATGGAGGGCCGTACTTCCAGCATCCGCAAGGCCGTGCAGACAGCATTCAAGCGCGCCATGAATCACCTGAGCCGCGTGCAGGACGAGCCGGTCAGTGATCTCAGCGACATCGACTGAGCCCCCCCCAACCCTGGATGTACCCAGTGTTACCCCCAGCAGAGGCCTGACCTGTCACTCTGCCCTATGGTCCGTGCCCGTTGCCCCCTCGTCCCGCCTTTTCTGCGCTGAGGTCATCCCGATTTTCCATCTCCATTCACGGTCTGCCTCCTCACTGTCGCTGTACAATTGGCCCCTTTTTTGGTTATTCACTCCAACTGGTAAATAAGTTTGTATTTAATAAACTTTGTAAATATTTGTACATTTTCCCGACACTAACTTATTCTGTAGATTTTAAACTGGTACTGTACATTATTTTTTATTAATATTTATACTGATTTATGTTAGCACAATGGTGTGTCTCTTAATGGTGCTATAAACTAAAGTAAAAATGAGATTCATATAGGGCTAAGATACTGTTCCTAAAGGGTTTCAACTCATTTTTTCAGTTCATTCTCAGTTAAGTTATTGAAGTTTACTACATGAACTTCTTGGCATAAAAGTTTTATTTTTTTTAAGCAGAATGTTTTTCGAAAAATGCCAGTATGTTTCGCTTGTATATATTTATATAAATATATATCTGTATACTTCAGATGATTCATGGGAAATCGGTGGTATCTATGGAAACCGCAAGTGCGTCGTTCTCACGAAACCAAAAATGCTGCCCGGCCTTGCCTCTTTCCCTCCGTCTTTCCCCTCGTGTTTTTTGTTACCGTGTTGTGTAAAAGGCATCGCTCTGAAATGTACCTTTCTGTTCCTTTACGTGGTGGTTCGGACTGTCGTGGAACCATGCGGTGACAGCGTATCAGGTGTTCCACTGTGCGTCGGCACCTGCCGCGTGTCACGCCCGTGATGGGCAGGGAAGCGAATGCTGAAACGGCAGCACGTGTGGAGAGATCCTCCTTTGTTCATTTCATGTCAGTGGGCTGTGTGTGTTTCTGTCCCTTTAACGGTTGAGCTGTGATTACTTGTGTTTGTTCATTCAGTAGGGACCTGGGTAGCAGTGGGAGATGTTTTGGAGAGTTCTCCAATGGTATGTAACGTACATAGACTTGGTACTTTTTTATTTTCTTTTTTGTTTTTGTTGAAAAACCACATTAGATACTGGAGTCGGCCCTGGAATGGCCAAGAGATTCATTTTTTTATGAATATGCTGATAATAAAAAAAGATGTGGATTTGAATCACTAACAATATCTCCTTGCCATATCAATTTTTAGTGAATTTTTGGTTAAAATGTCTCTGGTATGTTACACTGAAAATATAATTGAACCACTATATATTGATTTAACAGTGATACAAATGTCAAAAGTGCACATCACATTTTATAATCGACAGGTAAATAGAGATGTTGGTATGTGGAACAAATTATCTTGGACGTTTTCGCTTCTGAACACATGCCGTTTTCGGCCACACGGGGGCACTGTGAACCCGACCAAAAGACGTGAAGCTTCCCGCGCTGGATTCTGCGAGTACCACTGGATTTCCTCCTCGAGATGGTTTCCTCATTTCTGTTCATTTGGCGCTCTGAGCTGCTGGGCCATGATGCCTTGGTTTCCTCACACACACCTTGGTGTCCACGAAAATCCCCAAGCGGCGAAGGAAAAAGATGCGCGCATTTGATACTGTGCCAAGGATGCAGCCAAGATCATTCCAGGACGTGGTCACCGTCATCAGTCACAATCTACTGTTAATGCCACTCTACGGTTTTCTTTCTAAAGGTGGGATACCTTTTGGAGAGTGTAGTGAATAAATCCACAGGGTTACTAACTTTGGTCAGCTGGCTGGCGTGAGATTTTCTATTCGAGACTAGTCTGCGCACGCGTTTACATCTATGTAACGGTTTAATTATCTTGTAAATAGTCTGTAGAGTACAAACCACCGCATCGCTTTTGATGTAGCTTATTTTTGGTTTATAATGGAGTAATATAGATTTGTTGTGAAATTTCTTGCTTGAGCGTGTGTCACGTCAGATGCGTGAGTTTTCAACCCTAAATCCAGAATGGTTCCATTTTGTCTGGCAACATTGCGTCCACGTGTGTGTGTGTCTGTATGTCTCTCTCCGTCAAGCTATTTCTCCAGTCCGCAGTTTTCAGGCTACGGCGGTTCCCCGGTCCTCTGTCTCCTCAATCAGATGCTAATTGCTGGGGGAGGTAAACACTACGCACGGCCGGGGACCGAGTCAAGCGTGAAGATCAATCTCCCGCATCAGCGTCGGGGAGACGCGCCCTAATTAGGCGGCTGTTCGCTGCCGGCCTCCCATGTGCCAGGCGGCTGATAGGTGGCAGCAGGTAAGTCTCGACGGCGGTCGGGGGGTAAATGCACTATTTCTACGAAGCAAAGTGTCCTGTTTTGCTGGGAAATACGTCCGTTGAAGGGCGCCGCAATGACAGGCTGAGGAGTGCGCGCACCCGCGCAGACGCGCGCACACTTCATTCATATGGATTATGTGTCAAGTCACTTAAGCGCCATTTGACTTTGTCCGACGTGTTCGTGTTAGACTGTGCAGCTCAGCAAATAGGCTGCTGCAGATGATTGTGCGCCTACGGTTATTACCGTCACCAAACATTCATTTCTTTAGTAAATATTAAATTTAAAGCGCGTGTCCAATGAAACACAACAGGGTCGCCGGCTTCCGCCCCATTCTCTGAATCACCCCAATCGCCAGAGTTCTGCCCCTCGGCTTAATGGCTTTAATGTGATTTCTTTGTACGCTTATTTTAATAATGTGACGATTTCACTGTGTGTGCATGCGCGCATATAACTGATACCAGTGCATTCTGATTCAAATGGTTTTATTTTTATAAGCATTACAATGTGAATCATGTCATTCCTTGACAGCAATGTGGTTTTCCATTGTTTTATTTCCTCGGCCAACATCTCCAGGACATAGACTGCTTTTCATCCAGTCACGGCAAATAATTAACACAAACATGTACAGATGGGGGTGTTTAGTAATATAAAGCAATGCGTTATGTAAACACGTACAGATGGGGCGTGTAGTAACGTGAACTAACAAGTAATATAAACAAGTGCAGTCGGCGCATGCAGTGATATAAACCAATAAGTTATATACGCAATTACACCTGGGACATGTAATAATACGAGCAAATAAACTATACAAACAAATACAGATAGGGGTGTGTAATAATACAAACCAATACGTCATGTAGGCAACATAGTGGCGTGTAAAGTATGAACATATAGGTCTAGAGAAGAAACTGGATGAGAGATATAAAAAGTGGACCTGTGATTAAAAAAAACGATCAAAGGTATGTATTTTGTGGTATTAAATATCTGCTGTTCAATGCCTAGTGATCGCAGTCAACCCCCCCCCCCTTCCAGCTCGGCAGGCTGACTGACGCAGAGCCACATTGTGATAATTGCGCTTTGCGGTCCCATGCGGGATAATCTGCGGGCCGGAGCCGGGCCACGGCTGCACGAGCGGTGCGGATAACCGAGACGGCCTCGCAACCCCCATCAACGAGTCACGACGTCAATATGTCCCCTCCTGAAGCCGAGCAGATGAAACAAAGGCAGCTCTTAGCTGCCGGGACCTGAAGCGGTGCTCAGGCGACTTTTATCTCCTGGTTGAAAGGACGGCATGTGGGCCAGCACCAAGCGCCCTCACGGCGCTGTACGCCGCACCTATGCAGTTACTCACAGCGACCACGGAGGGGCGCTATTTCACCACGGAGACCTGACTAGAGGGCGCGTTGACAGCCGTGTGTGAGTGCGTTTATTTGATTGATTAAATCTGTGTAATCTACCCGCACTTTTTTGTTTTGTTTGTTTTGAATGAATAAAAATTGTCCAAATTATGCAAAATCGCAACTAAGTAAAGCAGAGTCTATGACAATTTTCAGCACACGTTAGATATGCTCAGGGATTTTAAGGAGAGTGGGCCTTGGCTAAATGCATATTTATGTGATGGGATCTCCTAATGTACTTTACTAAGGGGAGACCAAAGTTTCGAGTTTCCAAGGTAAAGCAAGCAAACAACTTCAAAGGATTTTACAGGGAACTTACAGTTTTTGCATTAATTCTGTCACTGTAACATACATTTGCAGCGGAAATGGGAGCCGTGTACTGTGAATATTTATGAGGCACTTTACTGCTGGTTTTCATCTTGTCTTTCTCGTACTGAATGTCAGTGTTAGATGATTTTTACGTACCGTCCAATTTCTCTCAAAGGTTACCTTACTGTACTCATTAATATACATTTGTAAGAAGGCTGTTCATCGCCCATGTAAGAGTGTGTCTGATGGCTCTCGTCGGAGATCATAGTTTGTCCGCATAGTTTGACCCTCACCTTCCATACATTTTGTTATCACTGATGTCCCCCCCCCCCCGCATTCACTGGTAAATGCCCTTCTCTGCTGGGATTCCCAGTCGTGTCTACCTGCAGGTTGACTGATCTGGACTTATGTTCAGCTTACCTATAAACCTCCTTTGATGTGTCTCCTCTACCCTCCAGGGACCCTCCACCCCCCAACCTCTCTCCAAAAACCTTATAATAATAATAATAATGCCTGATTTGACGTAGGGTATTTCCAGGCACGGATCGCTCTGCCGGGGAGACTGGTGGACGTGTTTTTACCCTTTGAAGTGATTAATTCATTAGTTATGTAATAGAAATAATTAGTGCGTTTCGGCTGAGAGAGTCTTATGTGTCGCTTTCCGAATGTGATTGTGAGTCCAACCCGCTGCCACTCTACAGTCGGCCCACACTCACACTTCTGGTCCTCAGCTGAGCTTCCCATAGCCGCTTGGCTGAAATGTCCAGGCCATTCGAGAGGCTGCTGTTTGACGGGGCTGGTTTCCCTGCTCCTCAGGTGGGCAAGGGCGCACACCATCTGTACCGGCGCCCTCTAGTGGTGCGAATGTTGTTCTACGCTCAGCCAATTGTTTGAGCGTGAAGCTGAGCGGTGCTGTACCCCGTGTATCCGGAGGGAGCCTCGCAGCCATGTCCGTGTGGCGATCGCAGTGTTTGCCGTGTGGTGGTAGGGGTGGGCAAGGGAGGTGGGGTTTCGAGTGGGGAAAAATGCTTCATCTGCGCTCCTCTGAGACTGACGGCCTCATCAGCATTCCTGCCTTCAAGGGCAGAGCAGCAGCACGAATGACAAGGCTTAATGTGCCTCTCGCCAGGATTGGATTTTATCCTCGCAGCTCTGCTGAGGGGGTGGGGTGGGGGGCGCTCCATAAGATCTGTTAGATTTATACTTTCTTTCTCTAGCAAACAGTATTAGTCCAGAAGGAAGCAGGTTCACCTGCCACATGGTGTGGAAGGGCATGTGCAGGAGCTTTCAGAGGTGTGCCGAGGCGGGGGGGTGATTGATCGGGGGTCTGTCTGTGGGCAGGTGTGTGTGCAGAGGATTAACACTGTAATTCAGCTGCTGCCTCGGAGACACCCTCTTCTATAACAGCTTTTAATGGTAGTTACTGTAGTCCCTTAATAACACTCAGCTGTGGGGACTCACAGTGGGTCACAATGAGCCATGGGGAGTCACAACGAGCCTTGGCAACTCGTAGTAAGCCTTGGAGAGTCACAGGAGGCCACAAGAAGTCACAGTGAGTAAGAGAAAGTCAGAATGAGCTGTGTGGAGTCATAGCAGGCCACAGTGAGCCACGGGGAGCCACAGCAGGCCACAGTGAGTCACAGTGGGCCACTGCAAGTCAGCAAGCACAGGAAGCCTAGGCAAGGCACAGTGGGCCACCATGAGTCACAGTGAGCTTTGGGGAGTCAAAGCAGGCCACAACAAAAAATCACGATGGGCCATGAGGAGTCACAGCAGGATATGTAAAGTCATAGCAAGCCATGGAGAGTCATATCAGGTCGTGGGGAGTCACAGTGGGACACAGTGAGACGTTGGTGGTGCAGGAGGTAGTGCTACCGTTCGGCAACCGGAGGGTTGCAGGTTTGAGCCGCGGGTCCTTCTGTCCCCATCGAAGTGTCCTTGAGCAAGACACTGAACCCCAAATAGCTCCCGGTGAGCTGGTTGGCGCCTTGCATGGCAGCCTCCACCACCGGTGTGTGAATGTGTGTATGGATGGGTGAATGTGAGGCATAACTATAAAGTGCTTTGAATCCTCGAAAGAGTAGCAAAAATGGGCCTCGGCGAGTTGCTGTGAGCCATGAGGAATCACAGCGGGCCGCAATGAGTCACAGTAGACGGTGGGGAGTCACAGCAGGGCACAAAATCTCAATGGGCTATGAGGAGTCATAGCAGGCCATTTCATAGCAAGCTATAGGGAGTTGTAACAAGCTATGGTGAGGCAGAGTGGGGCCCAATGAGTCACAGTGAGCCATGGGGAATTATAGATTATAGATTATAGAATTATAGAGGGCCACAAAGAACCAAAGGGAGTCAAAGCAGGCCACAGCTGCTAATGTGGGCATTATGGGTAACATCACTGGCATACACATTGGGCTTGAGGTATCATTAAATATTTGGATCAAACAGTTAGGAATTTGTGGGGGGAGGGTATTTTTGCGGTTCTCTAGACATAGGTGTCTGAAGGTTGCTGTGACTGTGTGCACATTCCATTTAGGTTAAGCAGGAAGTTTTTGGCTCAGACTGTATGGTAGTTCCCCCCCCCGGAGTAACGTACCTGAAAACTGCCCCAAGAAGCCAGTCAAACGAGAACAGAAGAGGGAGAGATAAGCAGAGAGAGCTGCTGGCCGCGCTTAGTGGCGGACTCGGCGACGCAACCAGCTCAGATCGCTGTCGGTTCTCAGAGGCGGCCGCGGCGCTGGGAAGCGATAGGTCTTATC